TATAAAAAAAACTAACACTAATGCAAAATCTAACTATGGTAACATGAATAATATGTATATGTATATGACCAAATAAGCTCTAAATTTATGCAATTGCTACGATGAACCTTGAAACCTTAGTTACGTAAGCGCACAAGGGTGCAATCGATACTCAGTTTCTACGATTGCACTTCCACTACGATGTTTTGTTACATTAATTACATGGTTTACACTAAACCAAACTAAAGATATCAATAAACTCTAATACTCGTCTTTACTCTTTACCGTTCAAATCCATTCTTTTTGCACACCTATTGCTTTGTCGCCAATTCACTTGTCTTCAATATTCTTTATGCAATGATTTCCCTTCTACATCTAAACGTATATGTGATCCGATCCTCTTTCAACAATAACAATATTTACTCTTTAGACATTCAAGCGTGTGCTTCACTAGTTACATACTTGCATTTTTTGTAACCATGTCGATAACATTAGACAATTTGATTTTGAGTTTTAATGTGAAGTTTTGTTTAAGTGAGACTGTTATATTCTTTTCTCGAATTGTCACATGTACATGTTAAACCAACACATATGTCATCAAAAGGACAAAAGGATATTATCGCCCGCTCCATAACAGCGATTGCCAGCTCATTGAGCTTTGTATTTTTCACAACAAGTTCCTGAGAGAGAAAATTTACAAACAAATCAATAGCTGAGAAAAAAAAACAAAGAAAATATATACAATGGAACCATACCATTTGGGTCAGACGAATGAGATGTTTCTTAGACTTGCCTTATTTTAGAGCTCTCTTCTTCTTGTTTATCTTGGTAAAAAATCTAATTTCAGAAGAATGAATCATAAGATATAAATCATAAACATATTTAGTAGAGATGTAAACCTTGTTTTTCTTTTTAGGAAGAAGAACATCATGAGACTCAATCCCCAAAGCAGCTTTTAAAATCTACAAATAATAGGATATGATTATTATTCATTTATAACCGATGATTATTATTCAATTCCAACCTCAATCACAGTGTGAATCATAGCCTCAATATGTGCCTTGATCTGGATCTGAGCTTGGATCTCACGGAATTTGAGAAGAGACTCAGTGAGATTCGTGAGACACGTGAGCCAGTGAGAGATGAACCTACAAAAACAAACAACAAAACACAAATTAGATCAGAAGCTGGATTGAGACAGAGATTGAAAAAAAAAACAAAGATCAACAATTGATTTACCCTTCTCGAAACTTGGAAGACTAAGTAGCTACAAAATCAGCAAATTCACATTTGGCAACTCCTGGACGACAGAACTCAAGCCAGAAAATTTTGCAGAATCACATATTGTTAAATTGAATTTAATTATTAGTTTAACTTACAACCTCACTCTTAAATTAACTCACATTTTGATTATTTGGTAATTTTGTACAAAGTCTGTCCACTTAAAGATAAATGTAGCTTAAAAAGGTAATTATAATTTTATTTTTGCTCAAATTATATCAGATAGTTATTAAAAAAAAGTTAAAATAGAAACAATTAAAGCTATATTAACCATCAACATTCTTACTATCTAACATGTTTATCTTTC